TGCTAATGAGCTGATGATCTGAATCAGGTGTGTTTAATTAAGACGACATGGGAAATGTGCAGAGCTGGTGGTCCTTTAGGAACGTGGCTGAGAAACACTGTTGTACAGCATTTATTTATCATAGTCCAACATTTACTAATGCATTAGTAAAAGTCATGCTTGTTTACATTTACTCAAAAATGAAAATAATAATGACAGATTACTAGATAAATTGGATGTTTATCACAGAAGATGGAGAAATTATTTAGCAGTTTTGGAGAATGAATAAGGTCACTGTGGTGAGACGCACGGTAAAAGTACAATTATCTTATGTATTATTATTTTTATTGTATTTATGTAATTTCTATTTATTTATTTTTTATACTTATTAGGTTTTGCATGTGTGTTTTTTTTCTATTTATTGAGTTTATATTGTTTATCTCTATTTACTGGATTTATGATAGCAGCATCTAATTACAGCCACTGCCGCTGTTGGGGAGGGAAAAGGGGGTGTTAAAAGGAGGTAAAAATGTTAAAACTGATGGTACTGTTTAATTATTGAAGAAAAAAAAATTAAATCACAAAAAAAAAAAAATTTTGGTGCGTGTTCAAATTACCTACATAACTTGAGTTGAATCAACACAATTCTTGTGTTTTTGGGGGGACAACTTAATTGTTTTATGTTCAATCCACTTACATTTGTAACAGTTTAGCTAACTTAATCTATTTGTGTTGGGACAAAAAATGCTGGGTTCCGCCCGTCGATTTGTGCTGGAACAAGATGAAGGAATTAAGTTAGCTCATTAGTTTTTACAAATTTAAGTGGATTGAACATAAAACAATTAAGCTGTCCCAAAATCACCCCAAGAATGGTGTTGTTTTAAGCTTGTTTTAAATAAGTAGTTTGAACAAACAGCAACATCATTTTTGAGTGTAGTAGTAGTTGTAGTAGTGTTACAATATGTTATAAGTTGTGTTAGAATTAAATGCTTAAAATTAAGGTTTGCTGTGCTTGTTCAGCCCGATCTCATGAGGAAATGTAACTATTTTGCGTATTGTCATAAAAGTGGCTAATCTGTACAAATTTATGTGATTTCATTTGTATGAAGAGTTGCAATTACTTTTAAGAGGCGGCTTTGCCCAAACCCCACCCATAAAATTACCTCTCATTGGGGCATGAGCAAATCCTACTTTAAAATAGATATTTTGTATTGCTTTTGTGCAATTTTTTGTGAACTAGTGATTACATACCAACACAGTACATGGGACAATAACAACAACAACCAAAAACAAGCCATAATGTTAAAAAAAAAAATAATAATTAAAAAGATAAATACAAATATTACACTAACGATGTGCCACAATCTGCATATGTCAAAATAATTAAATAATTGATTCCCACATGCTCAGAAAAAAAACATGCTCTTTCCTTTCCTTAGTAAAAAGGATCTTTTCTGAATGTAAAAATCTTTTCCAACTCCATGAACCACTTATCAGATGTTGATGCTGCTTCAAACTTCTGCAAGTAGCAAACCATAGTTAAATGTTCGATTGAGATTGTACAAATTAATTTTAAAAAAATAACAAATTGCCATGAGTTTAACACTTATTATTATTATTATTATTATTATTATTATTATTATTATTAATATATGTAAATTTAAACAATATTATTTTGGTAATACTTAAAAATGTTCCATTAATGTATTTACTGACAAATATTTAACAAAACATTTAACATTAAGTTAAAAATGAAAATAAAGTTTATTTTTAGTTGATGTCAACTCATGATGCATTACTACTACTAATGATAATATTAATAAACAGTGTTGTTTACATTGCATGTTTACAAGCATGTGTTGTTTACATTGAAACCATTGTATCTCTATTTCGCTTTTTTATTTTACAATGACATATTACTACTTTGTATACTTCATTCAGTCATATATAATATTATTAGAAGTTGTAGTAAAAAAATCTCTTCTTAAGAAAACTTTACCTATACAATACTCCTATAATTGTATTTCTACAGGTGATGCCCAAAGTGGCAACACAATAGTAAAAGAGCAGCAGAGAGAGGAATGTGCTGCATTTGCCCAGTCAGCTGACTGAACATGATCTTTAGTCTCATTCTGGCTTTGTCTTTCTGGCCACTGAACTCACACCATCATTAAAGCCCTTAGTAGGTCACTTCAGTCAGCAGACTGATCGGGCACAGACTGGCATTGTGTGTGTGTGTGTGTGTGTGTGTGTGTGTGTGTGTGTGTGTGTGTGTGTGTGTGTGTGTGTGTGTGTCACAGACAGTCTGCTGATCGTTACATGAAAAACATTCATTATGTTCCACGCCGTATGAAACCAAAAATGTTTTTGTTTTAGACAATGCCGGCATTCTTGCCATGTTTCAAAAACACACTTCAGCTCCCTGCGCCAGAAATAAAACGGCAGCGAAAATAATCTACTTCAGCCTTCCCACAACTGTACTTCACATTCTCAGGAATTGATGTTTATAAATGTTTGTAACAGAATTGAAATTCTCAGTCCAAATATTGTCCGAGTTGAGATTGTCGGTGGGGTTAGATTAGGAAGTATCTATTTACTGCTGTTTACACTGCGAGATTCTGCTTATAATGCAGTGCCACATTCCTCAGGGATGTTTTGTTTTCTCTGTGGCCTTGACTACAACACACAATGCATGATTTATGTTTACATTAAACTACAGTCGCTTCATGCTTCACATTTTGCTTTGTACTTTTGTTTTTCATTTAACAATGACATAATATTAATCATTTCTGTTTCATATTTATTCATGTGAATGTTATGTTGTGTAGTGATTCTGATGTACATCACAAAAACTTTTGCCATATTCTGACCCAAAGCTCTAAAAAATAATAAAGTTTTAAATCACATTTTAGAGTTTGTAATAATATTAGACACTGTGACTTTGCACTAAACTACTTTAATCAAGTTTTTGTTTTGTATTTTTCTTTATTTCTTATTCTGGCCATGGCTACTACTGTTCAGTAGTTTAAACTAAAACAATACAGCTAACAATATTCTAACAACTATAATACAAATATAATTTAATGACTTACTAAAACTACTCCCCGCCCCCATTCCAGTAGGGGGCGATGCCTATACAGCTTGTGCTTCAGTTACTCCAGCAACAACAAACAAATTAACAATATCCAACGCACAAAAAAACACACCGGTCAACATTGGGATGTGAAAGTAATGACTAGTTCAGACTGTGTGATTTTGGCCCCGACTTTGGCTCGCCGACAGGTTTTGAGAAATCGCCGACAAATGCCTGAAATCACAGGCAAATCTGTGCTCCTGCATGTGAGTGACAATCACACAGTATGAACTTTCAAAGACGCGAACTGAGAGAATCGCCGATGAGTCGCCGATGCCTGTGAGATATTTGGCATGCTAAATATCTGGAGCTGTCGGCGATTCAAATCATGCCGTGTGAAATGAGTTTTGACTGAAAATAACATCAGCGATCGCCTACAGCCAATGAGAGAGCAGCATTCACTTGTGTGTGTGTGTGTGTGTGTGTGTGTGTGTGTGTGTGTGTGTGTGTGTGCGTGTGTGTATACCTGCTGCATACCAATCATGCAGTCTGAACTCTTTTACATCCCCCCTAAAACTGTTAATCTGGAGCTGTTTTGTTGTAAATAAAGTTGAAATGGTCAGTTTTTTTTTATTATTATTGTTATTATTTATTTTTTAATTATTTATTTATTAATAAGGATAAAATAAATAGCATACAGTAGAAAAAGCTGCAAATAAAATTTAAGTTTAGCCTATTTAAAGTTAATAGTTATTATAAACAAATTGAAAATTAACTTCAAGTCCCATTAACCTTTTCTTCACTGTATAGTTCAAACATTGATTAAAGAGCAGTGAATGAATCGTTACATTTTTCGTTTGATCACATTAAATAACAGAGGTGTCACTTTAAAAAATGCACAGATCCATAATAAAAGCATTACATTTTTTTCCAGACTTTTTATGCTCATTTAAGACAAAATTTGTTGCGTTTAAATGAAGACCTACCAAGATCGACATGCTTGGATATTATTATTATTATTATTATTATTATTAATTATTATTATATGTCTGTTGAAACACACACCCAAAACCCATCATGTGTACAGAATTCGTTATTGTAACAGCGCCCATTTATTACTATGGAGCACGTCTGACAGTCACGCACTGCTACATGAACTGACTGTTTTGAGGACTTTATAGGAAGTACAACGGCGCCTGTTACGGAAATGAAGGGAATCTTACTTCAAAGTGTTTTCTTGCCTAAATAAAAAAAAAGCACAAAACAAATTAAAATTTTAGAGCAAGGGGCGTCCCCTGGTGGTTAGGCGGTATGAGTTCCGTGTATGGAGAATCGGCTCTTTAATATTTAATGCCACCCTTCATAGAAAGATTAAAAATATGAGAGAAATACAGGGAAATCTCTCTACGGGATGATAGCTGGATATAATTGTAAATTACAGGTGAATCCAGGGAAAAACGGGAGGGTTGACAGGCATGGTTTACATAGAACAATAAATAAATAATGAGCGCATTCTCACATGAGCGCAAGATTCAACATGACTATGTTAATTTAAATTCAGCAACATATTTTTTTAAACCTAATTAATTAAAGTTGCATTACATTTTTTTAAATACCTCAAATAATATTTATTTATTAATTTTACTTTACTTCTTACTTAGAAGAGTAACATTATTATGTCACTTGCGTTACCCCAACACTGATCACTATCTTAGATCGGTGAAACACCATTACAATGACACATTACAAACTCAATAAAACCAGGCTCTGCCTCTCGGACTGGATATATTTCAATTTAAGATGCTGCGTGTTCAATACCATGAGAAAACCTGGTACTCTATCTGCAGACCTTTTAATGATCAAACAGCAACACTAAATACTAAAGCAAGCTGAAAATATCACAATAGTACAAGATATAATATGACCCCCTCAATTGTCTCTTTTACAGACGGAGTGAGCCTGGATCTCGACCTCATTCCTGGCATTCTACAAAGCTGGGCGACGGCCCTCAAGACTCAGACAGCATGATGCAGGTCACCCAGGGTGGTGTGGGAGCCCCCTGGCACCAGAGCTACCACTCCAGGTCAGAGCAACACACACATACACCTACTCTGCCCTACATAGGCAAAGTACAGTAACTATACCAACACTAAAACTAAGAAAAACACCTAACAGCATTTTACACATTAGGGGAAATAAGAGGTTTTCATTTTTAAATAGATTTAGAGTCGGGCAGTACTGTGGTCTAGTCATGTAGCGTTGCGAAACGAGAGAAATACATTCTTAATTATTATCCGCCTGTTTTTCAGTCTCACAGGGATAGCATGTCAGCTTACTGAGATACAATAGTGAAGATGACATTTTTAACAGTTCCCAGCGATGCAACTTAAGGTTCAGCCAAGTCTGCTTAGCAATAATCCACTGACAACAATGAAGTCATTTATTCAAAGAAAGAGAATATGATGTGTCTTTGAAGGGGGCATCATGCTCCTATTGGCCTAAACCACATTAATCACAACTACCTATAGTGTAGTGCTGCATCTATCATTTCTTTAAAAAAAGTCTTTAGTTTGATAATAATTGAAAGAGAAAGATTCAGTTTTGCTATTTCCTCTAGAAAAAAAAACTGACCACCAATAATTTTGAAACTAGATATATTCTGTTCAGATTTCTGCTCGGAAATTGTTGCTTTTTTATTTAGTCAGTCCCTCCAGGATTTTGCGATTGCTGAATTTATCGCAAAATCATACAAACGATTCTGTAATTCTGCAGATTCCCTGCAAATTCCGGATCTAGACGCTTTCTATGACATCATGATGACACTGATTCACCCAAAACAAAGGCCATGTGGACGCAAAAAACCCGCGCTAAGCCATTTTACACACATCATGACCATAGGTGGCAGTATATACCTTAACGCTGGTCTGTAACTCTGCATTCAACCAGAAGACATCGCACGTTTAATATGAGTAAACTTACAAAGTCACATTTACCCACAAATATTACTGAGAAAAATTGAGGTGAGTGAAATTAGTAAAATAACGATTAAATTACAGTACTTCCTCAAAAGCAAATATTAAAATTTGTATTAAAAAATAATTTATTTATAATTTATAAATAAAATATTTTATTTATTTTCGAAAATAAATTTGATGGGGTTTCAGGCTGGTCTGCCTGTTACAGATCCAGGTAGTGAATTCTTCCATTTCCCCCTCTTTTTTCAATTTAGTTTATGCAGCTTTTAGTAATTTGCTTATTATATCATACATATCATATATTATATATTAAAATCTGTATTTTTTGTGCTCTCTAGTTTAGGAAAGATTTACTCTCCACACCAGCCATCTCAGTCCCCAATGATATTAAAGAGCATTCTTTAGTTTTTATTATTCTCTTTGGATTTTGTTATACAAAATTGAAATTTAGTTATTGCAGAAAAGATTTTTTGTAAAAACGTGCAGTATTCGAGAAAAAAAATGAAAAGGCTCTTGTTCACCATAATTTTGTCTCAAATAATTGTGTTAAAAACGCGTGATAAGTGCACTATAGCCTAGTGGTTAGTGTGCCGACAAAAAAAAAAAAAACATGTGATAAAATCGTGAGATTATTATCTTGACTCGTATTGCACTGTGAGTCAAATTAATAATTACATCCCAATAGGGTTTTTGCAGAAGGACTTTAAATTATTCAGCAACCTGGGTCAAGCGCTTCTGGTGGACTGTATGCCGTTACAAAATGACGTTTAAGGTCCATTTCTTTTTACACATCAACGATCTTCACTGCCTGATATAAAGTAGGTCTCAAATTGTACAAGAAGCACTGCATTGAATTAAATTTTTTCGCACCATGTCTTTAAAATATGAACATTTATTTTACTCCGGTATATTCAATGGAGCTTCTGCACTAGCCTGCTAACCCTGACAGGCGCGTGCGTGTTAACAGCTTTTCGTCTTGTTTTATGCTTGAACAATTAAATGAATTCTTAAGCCTATTTTTTTAGGGGGAGCCTTTTTTAGATAGGACAGAATTGAGAGAGGAAGCGAAGTTGGAGAGAGAGAGAGAGAGGGGGGGGGGGGGGGGTATGGTAGGGAAATGTCCTTGAGCCGGGATTCGAACTCTGGACGTCCTGGCATGCTACTGCACCATATGTCGGCACTCTAACCACTAGTCTATTTAACACATTTAAATTACATTACTACATCGATGCTGTAAAAGGAACCATATAAAATTGAAAAAGACGCATTAACCGTTCACCGGAAGTGTATCGGTATGGGTAAAAACACTAGTTGTGCATACAAAAATAGGACATTTCTTTCTTGACATAAATCATGGCTTAAAAAAAAAAAGTGCATCAACATGACCGTTAGCACTGTAGATATGAATGCTGATTATCTTGGTTCAGACGTGACTGTATTGTCCTTGGTTTGGGAGTTTCCTGTTGTGTGCATTCATGGCATAAGCAGAGGACATATTTTATTTTGTTGCCCAAACATTCAAAAGCCTTGTGTGCACGTTATCTCGGTCATTATCGCTGTATTTAGACCAGAACGTTCAGGGGCCTTCAGTGATGACACTGGAAGAAAACATTTAGAGTGTTTGAAGAGGACCAGAGAGAAAAGCACTGACGCACAGTCTAATGGGGAGGGAAAAAAAAAAACATTCTTTCAAATGACACTCCCTCGACACCCTATAAAAGGTTCCTATGGCGATGGTCACCATGGGCTACACCAATAGTGTGCCACTTTCTGAGAGCTGGTGGTCACTGTCTGATGGCCTGACCTGTGATTGGTTGATCTACTTCTTAGAGGGGTGATTGCAGAGCTGCTGACAATGGCTCAGTGACATCATATTAATTATGCCAGCAGAAATACCAGCACTCTGATGCCAGCTTTCAGAGTCCGGCAATCGCATAACCATACAAGGGCAGTCGCCTCAGGAAACCCAGGGCATCACTGTCCCACACTCACAAAAACAGAATAGTTCCAACCTTTACAGTACGCAGCAGATTCCCACAATCAATGAGTCTGTAATAGATCTGTTGGTATAGATTAGTCACTTTACCAGGGAAGAGAAAAGAATGTATGAGGGAATTAAATCTCCAAGCACATTCACTACAGCTTTATGGATTTCGTATTGTAATAAAAACAGACATGTAAACAGTCCAGACATCAAAAACATCAACTGCATCGCTATTCTTATCTTTACTATTTCTGGTGAGTAATTGAGTCAGAGAGACAGCGAACTCAAATTGTGAGGTCATTCTAATTTCATAAGAAGCAGTAAACCAATCTTTTTGATGTCTATCCAAGTCTGAAACTGCTACTAACTTAGCTCAGACCGCTAATAACTTTGGTAATATATTACTCCAATAAAACAATACTATTGCTTTTATGTCTGTTCTTATCTTATATTTCCCACCTTTATACAAGTAAGCATGTTATTGTGTGCATTGTCTTATAAATCATTCCATGAGACCTCAGGTAAAACTGCTCAACCAATCAGATTGCTTCGTAGGCGTTTAATTTTACCAACTCATGTATGAGGATCATAGTTCATACTGTAATATGCATCTCGTTTTTCCCTGCAGTGCTTCCACCACAGACCTATCAGGATTTGAGACGGGATTTCTTAGGAAGAGCCCTGATCAGTATAGTTCCCGGGGCAGCATGGAAAGCCTTGACCACAGTCACCCAGCTTACAGCTCCTGCTATCATCTATCATCCTCGAAATCATCCAGCAGCATCGATCATCTACACAACAAGCGGGATTCTGCATACAGCTCGTTCTCCACCAGCTCCAGTATCCCAGAGTACCTTGCAGCCACACCATCATTTAACAAGGAAAGGTCCTATTCCATGGAGAATGTTCCACAGAGGGAAGGGATGCAGCAGGCGGATATACGCTACGTACGCACTGTGTATGACAACCAACAGGGGGTGTCTGAGGAGCACGAGATCACCTCTGCAGCTCTAATGAGAACCAATGACAGCAGAGCACGGTCTAAAAGTGGCATAATCTGTCATCGTGGCAGCAGTAGTAGTGAAAGCAGTGGGAGTAGTGGAAGCACTTCCAGCTCACAACGGCAGAGTTTTGGGCCAGTCTGGGATCCAATGCACAGCCGGCACTCCTTTGAGAACCTAAAGGGGGCACCAGCTCCCCCATTACGCAGTGACAGCTATGCAGCATTTCGCAATCACGAACGTCCAAACTCTTGGTCGAGTCTTGAACATGCTCGGTCACAAAGGGCACTTTCAAAGGGTTTCTGGCAACACTCTAGTGGTTCTGTGGCAACAGGAAAGTCCTCATTTGGAGCTGAAGGTCAGTTGCATACAGTGATTGAAAAAAGTCCTGAAAGTAGCCCCACAACCAAACCCAAGCAAGGCATTCCTCAGCCCGCACAACCTGGCCGCTTCATGTTACCAACTGGCGTCTACCCTGTTCCTCCTCCAGAGCCTCATTTTGCACAAATCCCAACCAGCAACCCTAATTCTGGTAGTGTATACCCAGCACTGGCCAAGGAGAGCAAGCACAACAATCACTGTGACCGCTTGGGTGGACTTGTAAAAGAGGACAGGCTCGCCGCTGAAAACGGATACCAAAGCAATGCTCCCACGCTGAACCCTGTCCAAACACTTCCTTTGGCAGAACCTAGGCTTTCTGATAGAGTTCAAGATGACTCACAAGTCAAACCTAGTTTTTATAGGCCTCATTTTCAACCACAAATGCAGAAGTCACAGACCCCTCATGTTCCCCTAGAGAGGAGAGACCCTTACACCCCTGTGCAACCAAGAGGAGAGAGGCAAAGGTATTCTGTTGATTCAGTTTACGACAACTACAGGCCAGCTCGAAATGAAGAACAAAACAAAACTAATGAGGAAACTGTCCATCCAGACCCAATACACTCTGGAAAAATTGTACAGGGACAAGTTGCTCAAACATATGGAGGAAATTTCATTCAGACTCAAGGAAATGACAACATAGTCAAACCTTCAATGCACTACAGTGACTCTAGTGCTCTCCGGCAGAGAGGTCAAGACTTGGATAACCCCCTGACCAGACTGGAGAATGCACTTGCAGAGGTTCAGCGATGTGTAAGTCCTGAAAGTACAACCAGCCATTGCAGTTTTCAGAGTGAGCGTAGCATGTCAGTCCTGGAGAAAGTCAGTCATTTTGAGAGACAGCAAGTCAAACCTCGCAGTCAGAGCAGCCTGTCCCATTATGGATCCACACCTCGGCTGAACCAACCAGCGAGACCCTCCAGTGCCAAGGGTTCCTTTTCTGGTAAGGACGGTGTGCGCACCATGTTGGAGAGAAGCAACAGCTCAGTTACTGAGAGTTACCAGAGAACTGAGAGCTATGATGGACATGCTGATATGCAGCAGGATTTCCATACAAGACGTGGGAGTAGTGATCAAATACAATATCACCAGCAACAAGACCCTACAGTCACTCAGAAGAAGTATCTTCAAAGGAGTAAGAGCACCTTTCAGCTTGGTGAGGGTAATGGTAAAGGAGATATTCATGACATGTTGGGTGCTATTCAAGACACATCTTTTAACAGAGCATACAGAGACAGCCTTAAAGATGCCCAGTCTAAGGTTTTGAGATCAACTTCCTTCAGAAGGCGTGACTTTGGTGTTAACCCTCCACCAGTACCAGCCAAGCACATGTCCCTAGAGCGAAAAGGAACCAATACAAGTCCCAAAGCAGTTACAACATCACCACACACTCCAAAAGAACGCCATGTTGTTCCTGTTGAAGCACAAAACAGAACCACTCCTCCTGAACTCCCCAGTGTCCCAGCTGTTGGACCCCCAGTTTTGCGGATTTGTGGACGCAAACGGTTCACAATGGAGCAAAAGAAACGATCATATTCTGAGCCTGAAAATATGCATGAAGTTGGAGTGACTCAGGAAATCAATCAAGTTGAGAGGAGGGTTCAACAGCAGTTTCTGTCAAGTGAGACAAGTGTTGCAGACCGGCGCAGAATGTTTGAGCAGGTGGCAAACCGTAATGCTGACCCTAGACTGTTCTCCTCTAGGCCCGATTTGAAGCAAATGCAGCAAGATGCTCTTGTCGAGTACATGGAGCGTAAAACGGGTAGAAGAATAGATGGACGCCCAAACCGCCCACAAAGTGCTTATATACAGTCCACTTCATCTTCTGCAGACTCACGGAGCCTCAGCTCCACCCCAAGTCTGTCCTCTTTGCAGGAGCCAGGATATGATGGTCTCTCTGGTGGTATTCGTAAAGCCTCCACCCTTCCAGCAGGAATGCAAAGCAACTTTTACCCAAATAGGGCCACTCAAATTCACAGTAGGCTTGAGGTTTTTGGCCATCAGTCACAAGTCGCATATCCTGAATCTCATAAACCAGGCCCAGCCCTAACTAGACATACCCTTCCGCAGCACCTTGAAGTTTTTGAAAGAGCCACCACAGCCAGAACCTCAGGGAGGTCAGCTTCAGCTGAGGATTTGCTGGACCGTAGTGAAGAACGTCCCATTCCTCAACACTTCAGATCAAAGTCATCTCCAGTGGAAAACGTTAGTCAGGTAACAATTTATTAGGAAAACTTGACTGTGTCATTGGTTCTAATTACTGCAGAACCATGACATCATTCCACACAACTACAGTAGTCAACATTTAAAGTGGATCAAAAAAGTTTTCCAAATTATTTTGTAAGACAACAATAGGTATTGTTTAATAGTTTTAGAACAACTTTGATGAAAGGTTTTGATCCATTTCAAATGTTGTCTACTGTATATTAAATAGATTAACTTTTATTAATGAAAAATGCAGGATTGAAAATTCTCAAAAGAATCTACATTTTCCACACCCAGACTCACCCAAACTATTAGGGGAACTATCTCTTTTAACAGCCAAGCATGTTCTCAGTGATAATCAGTGAATAGTTTTCAGCCAATTATGGTACTTGGTGGTCTGTCCGTTGAAGGGCAAAGGAGTAGTCCCTTTCCTTGAGATGGGCAGATAATCGTTTTTTTTTTTTTGTGCCCACTCCTGGTGCTCCACAGGAAGAGGCCAGTGCTCCTCACTTCCTGTTTGGTGCCACAGAGCCTGGGCTGTAGTCCGAGATCTGACAGATGTGCAGCAGATAACTGCAATCCTTCTGTGCCAGAGGGGAGGAGTTGGAGATAATGGACAACCCGTCATGGTTTTGGTTTCGAAATATTTGGAATGGTTAAGAAAGCAATTTATCTAAGAGAATAATTATCCTTTATGTAAACGATAATGTTTCTGGTATGATGATGACCGCGTACAGTCAAAATACAACTATTCTGTGAAATTCCAATTTCCCCCAGCATTGCAAAACTAGAAATTGTTTAAGTGGTATAGAAAATACCAACACACTGACTATTACTTGACAATACTGTACTTTTACCCAAACATTCTGCCCATGAATAAACCATCAAAACCAAGCACAGTCTCTACATCTGTTCATAGTTTGTGCTAGTTGAATACAGCATAGTTCAACTTTGAGGATGTTGTCATGCCATGTCCCTTTATTTTTTATTAACGAATCTTAGTTTATCAGTAGTCACGGCATGCGGTAGAGTTTAAAATTAACATGAATATCCCCATGAAAGTCCCAACAATAAACTAATGATTAACTTCCTCTTCCTGGTACACTACTCTTTCTATTCATATTTTTGTTGCCATCTGTACCAAAAAGTGCTACATCACCTGCTGAAATAAAATATTAAATGTTTCTGTGTTCTCTTTTTGTTTAGGACTTTTCAGCGAGAGACCTTCAGTTACTTAGAGGTTCCTCCAAGAATTTCTCAGAAAACAGGTTTGTGTGTGTGGTTATATATAACACTTCCTTTTTCCAACAAATAAACACTCTCGAGTTGTTTCTCCCTTGAGTCCCACATGCAACCCGCAGATATTATTTTGCAAAACAGGTTTCAGCTACAATTATAAGACAGACATTTCTGAAGAAGGCAAATCAGTAGATCAGTCCTTTAAAGAGCAGGAATTTCTTTGCCAGTACAAAACTATTTAAAATGAGTATTATGGAAATATTTAGCCATAAAAGGTATTAAGGACCAACCCTTAATTGGTCAGTAGCAGTGACAGGAGTCTGACTGCAGCTATTTTTTGAGTTGTTTTGATTTATGCACAAATTCCCACAAGGCATTGAAAGACCAATTATTGGGATGCCATCACTTTAAAGAAGACAGGTACTGGAAATTTGACAAATGCATCTTTATAAGCTTTAAATTTCTTTTTATAGGCTGTTGGCGAACATGGGACCTAAACAGCCATCAATTTCAACACGTATGGAGAGGAGTTACCAGCTAAACCAAGGTCCAGTACAGCAAAATGCACCAGTGTTGAGACGAGAGCGTCAGAGATATTCGGACCGGCCTAGAGCACAAAGTGCATCTGGTCTAGCTGCATCTGTAGGACTTCCTTGCCCTTTAACCTCTCCAGGCACTAACACCCACCCCGACTGGCAAAACGGAGACAGACTGTGTCAACCAAACCTAGACTCTATTGCATTTCCAGAAACTGGCCCACAAAATCAGAAGAGTCCGTCCACAGCACCAGGAATGATTCGGCAAAACTCCAACGACACCAGTACTTCTGAAGACACCCTGAAGGATTTCCCATGTCTGGTCAACACTCCATCACCACCAACTTCATCATCCAGCTCAAAACTTTCCATAAGTCCAGTCTCCCCAACAAAACCACTTCTCTCTCTTCGCATCTCAGAGTCTAGCCTTCACAATATGCACAACATAGCTAGGTCTCAAGATGATGATGAAGTGTTTATAGCTCCACCAACACCTTCTCCTCCACCACCACCACTGCCTTATAGAGAAATAGAGATTATGGAGGATTTCCCACCTCCTCCACCTCTTACACCTCCAGTCGATGAGGATGTGGGTCTGACTGAGATTTCACAGCATCCATTACATCCCATCAGGTAGAGACATGCTCCTTATTGCAATCGCGATTATGGTAATGGGTTGGGCAAAGAGCGGGGGGCACTTTCAGTCATTCATTTTTGAGGGGGCATTTTTTATCCAAGAGGCAGAGGTTGATTCCTACCTGTGCACATGCCTGGTAGTTATATCCCTTTTTAAAGTAAATTAGGGTTTGGCTAATGATTTGTTTGATAAGAATGTTGTTCCAACAAATAGAAAAACAAACACATCCATCACTTTCTTCATGTCATGTAATTGTACAGTCACATGTAAAGGTATACTCTAGGGTCAAAACAAGTTAAACCTAAAACAAGTTCAGCTTAACCAGCAGCATTTGTGGCATCTAACTGAATACCACAAAAAGTAATTAACTTGTCACTTAAATTGAAAAAGGTAAGAGTAATAAATAACATAATATACATGAGAATCAGCATCTCGAAGTCTGAGGCCATGGTGCGCCACCGGAAAAAGGTGGTTTGCTATCTCCAGGTTGGTTGCGGCAGCAAAAAGTGTTGCGGCAGCAGTAATGCAGTCGATGTACCGGTCTGTTGTTGTAAAGAAATGGCTGAGCCGAAAGGCAAAGCTCTCGATTTACCGGTCAATCTACGTTCCTACTCTCATCTATTGTCATGAGCTTTGGGTCATGACTGAAAGGACAAGATCTTCGATACAAGTGGTTGAAATGAGTTTCCTTCACAGGGTGGCAGGGCGCACTCTTATAGACAGAGTAAGGAGCTCTGTCACCCGGGAGGAGCTCATAGTAGAGCCGCTGCTTCTCCACATCGAGAGAAGTCAGCTGAGGTGGTTCGAGCATCTGTTTGGACGCCTACATAGGAAAGTGTTCCAGGCATAAGGGAGACCCAGGAGACGTTGGAGGGATTATGTCTTTTAGCTGGCTTGGGAATGCCTCGAGATGCATCTGAGGTTGTCTTCCTTAGCTTGCTGCCACCACAAACCAGCCCCGGAAAAGCGATTAAAACTGAATGAATGAATGAACAATATACAAAAGAAACACAAATATACAAAAAGTATTGATAATATAGATCTAAAAGTAATGTAAATTAAATTCACAAAATATTTTGACATTTTAGTAGTTAGTATATTAAGTTATATTTATTGTATATTTTGCAATATATTGTTACACTTGCATGTTTAAATTACACCTGATTAATGCAAAAAAAAATTCCTTGAGATGTGCTGTTTACAACGTATTTAAAACAACATCATATCCAAATATTTAAGCTATTTCCGACAAATAAAAATTTCTATAGATTTTAAGTTGTTTGGACTTAAAAGTAAAAATAATAAAAGGTAATATTTTATGAAATACACATTAATATTCTGTTGGAACTTACTTCTCTATCATTCTTTTTCTTGTCAGCTTAGTCCCTTTATTAATCCGGGGTCGCCACAGTGGAATGAACCACCAACTTATCCAGCAAGTTTTTTTTACACAGCGGATGCCCTTCCAGCCGCAACCCATTTCTGGGAAACATCCACACACACATTCACACACACACTCATACACTACGGACAATTTAGCCTACCCAATTCACCTGTACTGCATGTCTTTGGACTGTGGGGGAAACCGGAGCACCCGGAGGAAACCCACGCGAAGGCAGGGAGAACATGCAAACTCCACACAGACACGCCAACTGAGCCGAGGTTCGAACCAGCGACCTAGCGACCTTCTTACTGTGAGGGGACAGCACTACCTACTGCGCCTTATTTCTCTATCATTCAAACTGAAAAAGACAAATCATCATTTCCACAATCTTTCTGTGGTTTATTTCTTGAGAACAAAGTTAGTGATATTTAGCATACTGAAATCACTTTAAAAGTAATATTATCTCTATCCAATTCAACCATTTAAAAAGTACACGAATGCTTACAAGCTGCCCCTAATGACTTCCATTTTAAAGGGATAGTTCACCCAAAATGAAAATGTACATGCTATTCAATCATCCTCAAGTGGTTTTAAACCTTCAAAAGGTTCCTTTTTCACAAAAAAAAAAAAAAAACATTCTGAAAAGTTTAGAAGTAACCATTGACTTCCATGGAAGAAAAAACAAATCCTATGGAAGTCATTGTTTACAATTTTCAACCTTTTTCAAAAACGTCAGTGTTTTAGAGAATGCAGAAACTCTCCAAGTAAATGATGCCAAAATTGTCCATTTTGGGTGAACAATCACTTTAAATGCATTACTTTTAACCAAGAGGTCTGCTTATTTAAAAGATAAGTGGAAATGATTGAGCTTAACTTGCACTGAACCCTTCATATTCCCATATCAATGTAACATGACTTTCTATCATTTACATTATAGCAGCGATGAGAATCTGACAAATGCAACAGCCCATCCAGAGCCTGAACCACCAACAACTAACAGCTCGACTCCACCAGTTAGTCCTTTAGAGCTGGATGCCTCTGAGATATTGGGGTCAGACTGTCATCTTCTGTCCCGGAGAGAGCGGACACACACAGAGCGGCTCGTGGAGACTTTAGCCAGAGAGCTGGTGAAGCATGACAAATCGCTGACCTCACTTCTGGACACCTGGGCTGGTAAAACCACACTGGACCTGATGGAGGACATCTTCCCTTCACACAGGACAAGCAGCGGGCATCTGGACAACAGGTGAGCTTAGGGCTGTGCAAATTGACCATATGTAATGTAATGAAATGTGTTTTTATTTAGCGCATTTATTGTGCATTGCCATACACCCACTACAATAGAGATGGCCGTCCACGCTTTTATTACAGCACGGTTAGACTACTGCAATGCACTTTACTGTGGCATTTTAAAATCACAAATTTCTCGCCTTCAGTTGGTCCTGCTGCTAGATAGGGCTGTGCAATTAATTGAAAATCCAGTTATAATTTTGGCTTCTAATAGTTAAGTAAAACCATTAATCGAGATAAACGGTTATTCCATCATATACCGCCCCCTTTCCAGTTGTACACATTTGTTACTCTGCAAAGCTCAGTTCCACTTGAAAATGACTAAAAGCATGTACTGTAATGTGCCTTTTGCAGCACGGGATGCACATCATTTATATTTTAAAAGCGCAAAAGAGCATATGCTATTGTGTGTGCGTGCCGCGCTTGTGAGCCCTTTAATGGTCAAATACATGCACATTTGTGTCAGAGCGTGGTGTTTAGTGATTATTCATATTAACCCTCACTTGTGTATTAAACAAACAAGTTGAGCATCAAATGACACTTGAAAGAGAAACCATATCTGATCCACACTATTCTTAAAGACACAGCGCACAATAGTCCTGCTGCCGCCTGTTTTTATTATTAATCAAACAACAAAAGGAGAAAATCCCTCACTGCTATTGGCTGAAGGACTTTTTTAGCTAAAGTTTAATCCTGACAGTGAAGATGCTTAAAGCAGTTTAAACACAACAGATTTATTAACTCATTTTCAATAACTGATTTCTTTTGTCTTTGCTATGATGACAGTAAATAATATTTCACTAGATATTCTTCAAGACACTAGTATTCAACTTAAAGTGACATTCAAAGGCTTAACTAGTGTTATTGTAAAACAGTATGTGTAACACATAAATAGCTTAAAGGGGCTAATAATATTAAGCTAATAAAATAGGTTTCAAAATATTTAAACCTGCTTTTATTCTAGCCGAAATAAAACAAATAAGCCTTTTTTCAGAAGAAACAATATTACAGGAAATACTGTAAAAAAAAATCCTCTGTTAAACACCATTTGAGAAATATTTATATATAAATAAAATAATTCACAGAAGGGCGAATAATTTTGACTTCAACTGATAATCGTTTTGAATAATCGTGATTACAATTATGACAAAAATAATCGTGATTATGATTTTTCCCATAATCGCGCAGCCCTACTGCTAGATTTATTTGTAACAGACGGAAACATGACCACATTATCCATCTTCTTATTGGCTGCCCATCCAAATCAGAGTTGATTTTAAAGTGCTTTGACTGGTATATAAATCCATTCAATCTAACCCCAACCTATCTATCAAATCTCCTGCATTTTTACACTCAAGATCTCTTAGATCAAGTGATCAAAATCTTCTTTTAGTTCCTCAGAGGGGACAGAGCTTTCTCTGTGGCGGGTCCTCGGTTATGGAACACTTTGCCCCATGATATTAGAATGGCTCAATCACTGTCTATAATTAAATCACTCCTAAAACGTACCTATTCAGCTTGGCTTTTTAATGTTATTTTAATAGTCTTTTCTATTGCTTTTTTTTTTTTATTCAGTCACTTTTCTTAGCTTATTTCTGTTTTTATATTCTGTCTTTTTATTTTACTTTGACTTATGTACAGCACTCTTGTTTTTAAATATGCTTTATAAATAAATGAACTTGAACTACACCCAAAGCAACTCACAGCCATGAGGGGAGATCTCTCCAGACCCGTGTTAATTTGACGAAACATTTTTAACGTAATTTTCATGACAAACAAGTTTCTACCGACCAAAACTAAACAAAAATTAAGTGACAACTATAAAAAATATATACTGACATTTTTGTTAAATAATAAAAAGGAGACAAGACAAGAATGTGATTGAGGGATGTTTTTGTAATATATATATATATATATATATATATATATATATATATATATATATATATATATATTATGATTTAAAAAATAATATTTAAATAATTATAAACATTATTTCTGACACATTATTTAAAAAATTGCTATTAAGTTGTATTTTTTCTTTGGTGTGGCCAGTGAAAATTTTGGCAGGGCAAGTAAAAATCTGAACCATTGGCCCAATCGGACCAGTAGAAAAAATCTTTGGCGTTGAAGCCTGAGCATCGTGAGAAAATTGCAAATGTTTACATTTGTATTGTATTCAGTGATATTTTTAATTTATTATGTTGCACCTGTGTTTTAAATTTTATTCATATTTATTTCATATCTCAATATTTTTAATCAAACATTGCCCTAAATAAAGTTATAAATGAAGTGAAAAATATGATCACATACATTTACATTACATTTGAGTAGTTTTAATTTTTAATACCAGTTCCTGATCAATACTTTTTTCGATAACCCACATCATACATTTTGTTTAAACAAGATTACAATACATCTTGTAAAAAAAAAATAAAACGGATAGTATTAGGTTACACATTACAATGAGGTCGTATTAGTTAATGTACGTGTGTTTTAATGGTATGTAACGAAGCAAACAAGGTTATTCATCAAAACTTAGGCCTGGACAATAAATCTTGTTAAATCATTACTTCAAATTACTCAACAACAAGAATAGCACTGTCTATAAACGGCATTGTTCAAATAAAATATAAATACACTGAACTTTTGGGTGGAGATGCCAAATTTGACCATAATTTGAATGAGTGTTAAGAAAACGTGCATCGTTACTACATTGAAAACAAGGTGCAGCCGCCAGCGTTAGAGACACGAGGAATAGCAAACGTATAAATGAACTCATAAATTATCTTACCTCGTATTTCCAGACAACTTGTGTAGCTTGGTTGGTTTGTTTGGTCAGAATTTCACTCAAACTTTCTCCATCGCTTCAACATTTACTCTCTGTTTAATTAGTGGTTTAATCATCAGCGCGGAGCGACACTGACATCTCGTGGTCGATTGATGAATGGTTACATTTCTCCACCTGCTGAATGTAAACGCCGCTCATATAGTTCTATAAAGGGATTTTTATCGATCTGTAATTTATAAAATACCAATTCTCATTAAAAATAGAAAATAATTATTATTTTTGTTTTATTTTCACAATTTTGTAGAATAAAAGTTTCATTTGATATGGCAAATTATGGATGAACGTATCCCACTGTGTAGACCAGGGGTGACCAACCCTGTTCCTGAAGCCCTTCCTGCAGATTTCAGTAGCAACCCATATCAAATACATTCATTAATTGTCTTTTTGGCTGAGTCCTTTTATTAATCACGGGTCGCCACAGAGGAATGAACCAACAAAATAATTTTTAATTTAAAAAAGCCTGCCGTAAACGCCCAAATTTTGACTGCCCCTTGTCAAATTAGGGCCACAAAGTGAAATGCACAGAAATGTGAAGTGCAAAGTGAAAACAGCATCGCAAACTCACGGTTAACATATCAAAATCAAAATGAGCATTGCAATTGACTGGACAGGTTCTTTAAAGGCAATGCTATAAAAATGTTTTGCAAATATAGTTTTTTTTTTTTTTTGCAAATAATTTATTTCTTTTTTGCCCTGCTTGATTTTTTTTCTTTTTTGTTTGCAAATTTCATTTTTATTTCTCAAAACTTTCTTTTCGCTTCGCGATTTTTGTAGATTTAAGTTTATTTATTTATTTTAATACTTTATTTTTTGTTTGCAAAACTTTCTTTTATTTTGCAAGTATATATGGCCCTAGATTGACTCCATATACTATGGTAATTTATGGTAATGCCTATCTAAAATAATCTGGAGTACATTCATTTGTGTCATAATTATGCATTCCTTGGTAATCAAACCAATAAAACTGCAAGCACAATACAAGCATTTAGTGTATACTTTAGCTGTAAATCATCAGTCTGTCAGGTTGTGTGTGTTTCTGCTGATCTGAGTGTGTATGTGTGTGATTATGCGTGCTCTGTTTGACTCGAGGAATGTGCATTTTACTCATACAGAGCATTCAGGAGTTAAAGCAGTGTGTGCAAGACAAACACTTCTCATTGTCTGTTGTGTTTGTCCTGCATTAGGGCTCAAGATATTGCAGATTCTCAGACGCCTCCTAGAAAAATGGAAACCAACCTGGACGATGAAGAAGCTTATTTGAATCAAAAGAAGGTCAGATACACATTTTGTAAATATTCTGTTTCTCATTTGAGATATTTTTATTTAGCAGCTGAACACTAACAATGTCTGAAATTCATCAAAAATATATGCTGTTTTATTTAAAACATTTTAGACATAACATGTATACAGTATTATATAGTTATTATTATACAGTTTGTATTTTTTGTAGAAAATATCTGTTCGATGTTTATTCAAATCAAAGGAAAGTCAGAAACACAAGATATTAATAAAATTATTTATAAAAAAAACATTTTTATTAATAAAAGTATATATGTTATTTGATAATTCAAAATTTGATAGCTTTACAGTAAATAAATTAAATATTTATATATTTTTTAAAATATGAAAATGTAAATAAAGAAAAGCTGGTTCTGAATATTAAATATAGAAACAAAAAATATATATATACACACACACAATACAGTTAAAGTCAGAATTATTAGTCCCCCCTGTTTATTTTTTCCCCCAATTTCTGTTTAACGAAGAGCAAATTTGTTTTCATCACATTTCTAAACATAATAGTTTTAATAACTCATTTCTAATAACTGATTTATTTTTTCTTTGCTATAATGACAGTAAATAATATTTGACTAGATATTTTTAAGACACTTCTATACAGCTTAAAGTAACATTTAAAGGCTTAACTAGGTTAATTAATTTAACTAGGCGGGTTATGGTAATTAAGCAAGTTATCGGATAATGATGGTTTGTTCTGTAGACTATCGAAAAAATTATATAGCTTAAAGGAGCTAATAATTTTTACCTCAAAATGTTTTTTTAATGAAAAACTGTTTTTATTATAGCCAAAATAAAACAAATAAGACTTTCTCCAGAAGAAAAAATATTATCAGACATACTGTGAACATTTTCTTGCTCTGTTAAACACCATTTGGGAAAAATTCAAAAAAGAAAGAAAAAATCAAAGAGGGGCTAATAATTCTGATTTAAAAAAATAAATCTAATTTATTTATTTATTTATTTATTTATTTATTTATTTATTTATTTATTTTTAATATCTATAAATATATGTTTCTATGTTTGTTTAAAATAATATAATTAAGTCCATGTGTATTTAATAATATTATTAAGGTATGTATTCAATAATGTTAACATTTATTTAATATTTAATAATATACAATATAATATTTTTACATTTTATATACATTCATGACATTTTTAAATTATATATATATATATATATATATATATATATATATATATATATATATATATATATATATATATATATATATATATATATATATATATATATATATATATATATATATATATATATATATATATATATATATATATATATATATATATATATATATATATATATATATATATATAAAAAAAAAAATTTATTAATAAAAAAAATATACATATATATATATATATATATATATAAAATATAAATATATATATATATATATATATATATATATATATATATATATATATATATATATATATATATATATATATATATATATATATATATATATATATATATATATATATATATATATATATATATATATATATATATATATATATATATATATATATATATATATATATATATATATATATATATATATATATATATATATATATATATATATATATATATATATATATATATATATATATATATATATATATATTAGTTAAAGTCAGAATTATTAGCCCCCTTCGATTTTTTTCTTCTTTTTCAAATATTTACCAAATGATGTTTAACAGAGCAAGTAAATTTTCAGTTTGTCTGATAATATTTTTTCTTCTGGAGAAAGTCCTATTTGTTTAATTTCAGCTAGAATAAAAGCAATTTTTGATTTTTTTAAACACCATTTTAGGGTCAAAATTATTAGCTCCTTTAAGCTATAT